CCTTTCCTTTTTTTCTTGGAGCAATGAGTAAGGACCAGTCAGGTTAAATTACATATTCTGTGTCATGGTGTCTTAGCATTATTTTGGAACTTACATAGTCAAGGTATCCCATGAAGGGAAGAGGTATGAGGTTGTCCTGTTCCAGTAAAGGTTATAGAGGCCACTACCATGCATTTTTGCAGGACTAGACCAGGGCTGCCCTTCCCCAAGAGTGAAGTTCAGCCCAAGCCTGCCATGTGCAGTTGTTCTCCCAGCCCTTTTGTTTCTGTCAGATGCACTTGCAGTTACCATAGGCATGCACTGCACAGTCGGTTGGGCTTGGTGAGCACGTACCTCAGGAGGATCCTGCTGCCTGGCACTGCTCTGTGCTGAGCAGCACTCCTCCCTTTCTTGGGCAGCAAAGAGCTGAACCCACATTTTCCACAGCAATGAGGCATCGGTATCTCCTTTTGAACTTCTTGCTGTAAGATAGTTCATGGAGGTTACACTGTTTTGTTATCCAAACCTAAAGCTGTGCATTCCTCCCATCCTCTTATTTCTGTCTCAAATTCAAGAATTGCAATCCTAAATGTGCTGCCCTTTTGTATCTAGACTCGAGATATAGTAGGAAGCAATGTCCCCTCCTGTCCAGAATAGCCATGAAGCTGGTTGGGTTCTCTGTTTCCTAGGAAATGTGTTTTAGGTAATCTTCAATCATTCACTACTCATAGAAATAATATTGGATGGGGGGAAAAGGTAATTATGAAGAAATATACAGTGGGGTATCAGAAGTTAGCTTTTGGGGGCATATGGTTTTAAAGGCAGGAGCCTCCACTCTCTTCACAAGTTCATGTTCTGATTGAAAAGAATGTGCATATGTTTGAGAGTCAGTGTTTGCTACAGCCATTAAACATTTTCTTCCCTTTGCAAATTCATGTTGCTTTCCAAGTATATTTTAAATGATTCTCAGTTGAGTCATTAATTCATATATCTGAAAAGACTCGAGTTAACTAATGTGCTCGTAAATTCAACCACTTTGAATATCAGTCCTTGAGCATAGATGTGTTTATTATTAATATTAAATACCATGAGTAGTTCTTGTAAACTTTTCTTTCA